TTTCCTCTTCTCTCTGGCCTCTCACCTCTTACTCCAGTCTCCCCTCTTACATTGTCGATAACTTAGCCCAACTCATATGACCCCCCAGCCTCTCACCTGACCTTTCTGAGTCTTGACTTTTCTCTGTGACCCCTGACCTCCCACCTTCTCTCAGTCAAAATCTCCATCTCCTGTCCTCACACATCATCCTTTGCTCCCGGCTTCCCACCCTGGGCCTTCCATAGACTCTGGCCCTGGTGCCCTCCCACCTTGACCTCTGACCTTGACCTCCAGGTGCTGGATGTGCTGTGTTCCCTGTGTGTGTGTAATGGCGTGGCCGTACGCTCCAACCAAGATCTCATTACCGAGAACTTGCTCCCTGGGCGTGAGCTTCTGCTGCAAACAAACCTCATCAACTATGTCACCAGGTTGGTCCCTAACCCCAACCAACCTCAGCCTGACTTCACCCTGACTCCAGAACTCAGCAGCTCACCCCCCTCGTCCTGACTCAGAGGCTCCACACACAGGTGGATGTCCCTTCCTCCACCTGTGCTGCCCCAGGACTAACCTCCTGCTCCTCACAGGTGTCTGCTCTGCCCCTAGCTCACCCCTGGCCCCCACTCTTCTTGTCCCCTCTCCCTGCCCCTTTTCTGCCTGTCTCTTTCTCTCTCCTTTCTCTGTTTGCTCTTTTGTCTTCATCTTTCTGTCTCTGTTTCTATTTCTCCTCCATTTCTTTTACTCCGTCTCCTCTCTCTCTCTTCCCTGTCTTTCGATGTCTGTCTGTCTCTGCTTTCTGTCTCTGCATCTCTCTGTTGCCATGTCACTTCCTTTCCGTCCTGTGTGTATATCTTTCTCTTTCTCCCTCCCCATCCCCCCACAAGCTGGCTCTGCTCTCCTTCTCTCCCTCACCCCCTCTTGTTCCATCTCTCTGCAGCACCCGCCCCAACATCTTTGTGGGCCGGGCAGAGGGCTCCACGCAGTACAGCAAATGGTACTTTGAGGTGATGGTGGATGAGGTGGCTCCGTTCCTGACAGCTCAGGCCACCCACCTGCGCGTGGGCTGGGCCCTCACCGAGGGCTACAGCCCCTACCCTGGGGGCGGCGAGGGCTGGGGCGGCAACGGGGTCGGCGATGACCTCTATTCCTACGGCTTTGACGGACTGCATCTCTGGACAGGTATCTGGATCCTTTCAGGGGACCCTCATCCTGACCATTGACCCTAGAGTTTCCAAGATGCTCACCACACACCTTGGGGTTCTTGGGATCCCGACCCCCCAGAACAGGCCAGCTCTCAACCCATAACTCATTTACCATGACCCTAACCTTAAACCTTCCAGAATCTTGGCCCTAACTCATTTCCTCATAGCCTCTAGAATGCTGACCCCAGATGATGTATGATTTTTGACCCTGGAAATGTCAGGAAACTACCCAGTTATTGTGACCTCTGATTTTGACTTCTGATCCCAAAGGTTCCAGAATCCTAACTCCAGGAGGGCTTTAGCTTATGACTCTTAAGCTCTTAGGATCCTAAACTAAGGGGAACTTTTACTATCACCCTTCAGAGCTACAGGACCCTCCCTGGGAACACTTGGCCTTAGGGTTTCCAGAATCTGAACCCCTTTAATGTTTGCCTCTTGGCTCTTGAGACAAGTGGTCTCTGGGCCTTCTGACTTCTGACCCCTTCCTGGTGACCTTGGTGCAGGACACGTGGCACGCCTGGTGACTTCCCCAGGGCAGCACCTTCTGGCTCCTGAGGACGTGGTCAGCTGCTGCCTGGACCTCAGCGTGCCATCCATCTCCTTCCGCATCAATGGCTGTCCTGTGCAGGGCGTCTTTGAGGCCTTCAACCTTAATGGGCTCTTCTTCCCTGTTGTCAGCTTCTCAGCTGGTGTCAAGTGAGGACTTGCCCCTGCCCCCTTCCCAGTCCCCAGACCTGGGACTGTCCCCAAGCAGCCCTTCTAATCATCCTGTGGCCTGCTGTGAGGCCAAGATCCAGCAGCCTACCCTCAGGACTGACTGGCCAGATCCCCGCGTGAAGGTCCCATGACTGTTTCACAATCCCACACACTTTCAGTGTCCTCTCAATAACCCCATCTTCTCCCCAACTCCATGTCCTTCCAGTGACCGCCAAGTGTCCCCTAGATTTCAGACCTTCTAATAACTCCAGATCCTCCTGGTTGCCTCCCAAATGACCTCAGACTCTCTGAATGACTCTATGCCGTTCCAGTGATCTCCAAATGACTCCAGAATCTGACAATGATCTAATGACCCCCATCCCTCCCAGGGATCCCCCACAGTGATCTAGGACTCTTCTCATGACTCCATGCTCTTAACAATTTCCCTATAACCCTAACATCTCCCAGTGGTCTCCCAATTGCTCCATAGTCTCCCAGTGACCCCTCAGTGACCTGTTATTTCAGAGACCCCTCAAAAACTCAGTCTTTTCCTAATGACCCTGTGCTCTGTGGGGGACTTCCAAATCACCACTCAGGGGTGACTATGATTACCTCATAGTTACACCAGACTCTCAGTGGCTTCCAAATGACTTTTTTGTTGGTCTCCCCCAAACCTTCCAATATTCCCAATTGCTCTGTTGACCCAGGGTCCCCTCCAAAGGACCTTCCCATGACCTTGTGTTAACTCCACAATGACCCCATACTTTCCACTTTTAGGATTCGCCAATGATTCTCATTGCCCTCAGACATTCTTTTGACCTTAGATCCTTTCTGACCCCTAAGTGACCTCTAAGACACTATGACACCCAGTGACCTCAGGTCTCCCCAGACCTCCCACTGATCCCAGGAGCACAGATTCCTTAGCCCCTCCCCCTGGCATGGATCTCCTCGTAAGGTGCCCCAGCAGTGACGCCACTCTCCCATCTAGGGTGCGGTTCCTCCTTGGTGGCCGCCATGGTGAATTCAAGTTCCTCCCTCCACCTGGCTATGCCCCGTGCCATGAGGCCGTGCTCCCTCGAGAGCGACTCCATCTGGAGCCCATCAAGGAGTACCGGCGGGAAGGGCCCCGGGGGCCCCACCTGGTGGGCCCCAGCCGCTGCCTCTCACACACTGACTTTGTGCCCTGCCCCGTGGACACTGTGCAGGTACTGCCAGCCCTGTAGGGATCTTCTGGTGAGGCAGCCTCCCTTAAGAGTCAGGGAGGCTGCCTGAAAGCGGAGAACCTTGTTGTTTAACAGATGGGGAAAATGAGGCAACGTGGAGGCAAAGGACCCTCTCAAGGCAGAATCTCAGTTTCAGAGAGTTCTCACTACAGGCCCCCTAAAGAAAGGACTGTGATGGCCCTGATTGACAGTTGAGGAAAGCGAAGCCCAGAGAGGTTAAGCAACCTGTGCAAGTCACAAGTCACAGAGCTGCTTTGAACCCAGGTGGGGATTCCAGAGCCTGTGATCTAATCTGCCACAATTCTGCACTAGGCCTCTCTACTCCTCTTATCCCAACCTCAACTCCCCTCTCTCCCCTCAAGCTTATCCCTATCAGAGAGGATATTTTGTGTTTAGGAGCCTGACTGCAACAGTTTGGTGTTCAGTGTGTCACCACGGGCATTTGGCTTCACTTCCCTGTGCCTCAGTTTCCTCATCTGTGAGGACAAACCTACCTTGTAGCATTATTGTGAGGTTAGAGGAGTTAATATATGTGGAGTGCTTCACACGGTCCTGAGGAAATACTAAGTACTCAATAATACAGTTACTGTTAGTGGTGGTAGTAACATTATTTCAGGGGTGAAGTAAGGCCCATTGCCCTGTGAGTAGACAGAGCCCTGGGTCTCCTTCTGGATATCTCCCTTCCCCGGCCCCCAGCCCATCAGCCTCATGGCTGTCCACCTGGCCTCCTGGATATCCCTCCCACCCCCTCCTTTCCTGCCCATGGCCCTCCCTGGTCTAAACCGTCCTTATTTCTTGCCTGCAGAACACCAACCATCTAAATCTTTATTAGGCACCTACTATGTGCCAGGCATCTATATAATTTATATAACATTTAGTGGCTTATGTAAATGATTCTACTGAACCCTTATGAGATAAGAATAATGAGTTAAGTATTGTTCCAATCCTCACTGTATAGACAAGGGAGAAGACTAATCCGTCCACTGAGCAAACATTTCCCCAGCATCTCCTCTGGACCTGGCTCTGGGCTGGGCAGGGCTGGGAAAACGGTGGAGACAGGCAGCGCCAAGGAGTTCCCAGTCCTCATGCCACAAGGGGAGATAGTCCTAATCCCAGATATTCTTTCATTCTGATGATGCTAAGTCCTAATTCAGCTGGCTGCGTACCCTGGAGTCAGGGCAAGGTGATAAGGAGAAGGACTGGGAACAGCAGAAGAGGTGAAAAGAATTAGTCGGGGGAACTGTCCAGGGCTTGTATTGTTCAGGGAAGAGGGGTCACGGAGCGGGCTGGAGGGCACCCAGGGGCCTCACAAACATCCCCTGCTCCCAGATTGTTCTGCCTCCCCATCTGGAGCGTATTCGAGAGAAGCTGGCGGAGAACATCCATGAACTCTGGGCACTGACTCGCATCGAGCAGGGCTGGACCTATGGCCCGGTGAGGGGTGCCTGCAGCACAAGGGAGTCAGTCTAGACTTGCTGTCGGGGAGTGAAAATGGCTCACTAGTGGGGAGGGGCCTGTTGGGGGGGAAGGGACTTTAGGATCCCAGGGAGTCCTTGGGTTTTGGTGGCAGAACCTAGGGTGGGAGGTCAGGGGTCACAGTCTGGGAGTGCTGGGGGAAGAAGGGGAACCGAGGAGTTGACTCTGGCATTTCTTCAGGTTCGGGATGACAATAAGAGGCTGCACCCATGTCTTGTGAACTTCCACAGCCTACCAGAGCCTGAGAGGAATTACAACCTGCAAATGTCAGGGGAGACGCTCAAGTGAGGAGGCTACAGGGCCCAGGAGTGAATGCTGGTGGGGAGGGGGCAAGGAGAAACCAGAGAGGGAGACAGACTGAGACAGGGAAGGAAGCAGAGAGACGGAGAGAGAGAGGGAGACAAGGATCATGAGGCAGAGACTGACTGCGGACAGAGGCATAGAGATGCGCAGAAAGTGAAAGATGCAGAAAGAGACAGGGAAGGAAGCAGGCAGGAAAAGATGGGCACAAAGATATACAGGGACAAAGAAAAAGGGAAAGACAAGAGGCATAGACACAGAGACCAAGGCACAGAGAGATAGGGACACACACAGGGCGATGGGGACAAAGACACTCAGAAGGCCAGAGGAAGGGAGAGAGCTGGGGGCCCAGAGACAGAGCTGAAGGGGCCTGGGCAGGAGGGCAGCCCGGGCTAGGGGGGTGAGGCCAGGGTGGGGAAGCTGTGTGGGGTGACCCTGTCCCTTCTATCCCCCACCCCTGACCCCAGGACTTTGCTGGCACTGGGCTGCCATGTGGGCATGGCTGACGAGAAAGCAGAGGACAACCTGAAGAAGACAAAACTCCCCAAGACGTGAGTGTGGGTGGCCTGGGTCCCCTCTGGGGAACAGAGTAGGGGGCTGGGGATGGCACAGTGAGAGCTGGGCTGTCGACAGGACTTGTGGGGAGGTTGAGGTCAGAGATGAAGGGGACACCTGTTAGGGTGAAGGCCATAGGACTGGGGCCAGGGGTGGCGCTCTGGAGTGGAGTGAGTGTCCTGGGGAGGTGTCAGGATTGTGGAATTAGGAGTTCCAGAGAAAAAGAGAGAGAGAGAGAGAGAGAGACAGTGAGTCTGGATGCAGAGTCAGGGAAAATGAGACAGCAGAGGTAATACCTCTAGATTAGAGGCAAAGGGTCAATGGAAAGAGGTAAGATATTGGAGTTGTAGGTAAGGGATTCTAAAATTATAAGTGAAATATCAAAGGTAACTGGGGATAGTGGCCAGCATTCCGAGGTCAAGGACTTTAAAGCCAGGAGTCTGGCATGATAGGGCTTGGGGTCAGAGGTCAGAAACCTCAGAGGTGAGAGGTCAGAGAGTTCGAAGGACAGAGATCAGACTCCCACAATCACCATGAAGGGGTTACAGAAAGAAGCCAGAGGTCGGTGAAGTCAAAGTCCTCGCTAGGGTCACAGGATCCTGGGTTTAGAGGTCAGGTGTCTCAAAGCTTATTCAAGGGAATCATAGAACCCTTAAGTCAGAGATCAAAGGTAAAAATTCTGAGACTCAGAGCTAAGGTCACAGGATCCTGGGAACAAGGGTCAGAAGTCAGGTGTCCAATGGGACAGAGCCCAGAAGTGGAGGTGAGGGTTTCATCTCACTGAGCCCTGCCACACCCTCAGGTACATGATGAGCAATGGGTACAAGCCGGCGCCACTGGACCTGAGCCATGTGCGGCTGACACCAGCGCAGATGACGCTGGTGGACAGGCTGGCGGAAAATGGTCACAACGTGTGGGCTCGAGACCGTGTGGCCCAGGGCTGGAGCTACAGTGCTGTGCAGGACATCCCAGCACGCCGAAACCCTCGCCTCGTGCCCTACCGCCTGCTGGATGAGGCCACCAAGCGCAGCAACCGGGACAGCCTCTGCCAGGCCGTGCGCACTCTGCTGGGCTACGGCTACAACATCGAGCCGCCGGACCAGGAGCCCAGTGAGTGCTGACCTCAGGCCCTCACCCTGCCCTTGACCCCTGGTCTCTCACCTCACTCAGCCTGAATGGGCTACATCTATGACACTGTTCCCTCCCCCCCACCCTGACCTTACTCTGACCCTGACCCTGAACCCAATCTTGACTACTGACTTGACCTTCCTACCTGGGCTGTGGCTACAACACTAAGTTGCCAGACCAGGAGCCCATAGAGCACTAACCCTGACCCCTGACTCTAGCTTCTGATCCCCAGCTATGACCCCTAACCCCTAGCCTCTGGACTTTAACTACAACATGGAGCCACACATCCAAGAACTCAGAGAGCCCCTTATCCCTACCTCTGACCTGACCCCTGATCAGCCACTGACTCCCAATCCCAGCCCAATTCTGGCTGTGGTCCTCATCCTTCAATTTCTCTCCTCCAACCTATTTTATCCCCTCCCTGAACCTGACTCTGACCCACTTTCTTGAATCCTGCTCTCAACCCTTGATTCTAAACATTGACCTTAATCCTGACCCTTAACCTTAGACTATGACTGTGACTGACCTCACTTTCTCTCTCTATGTCTCTGTCAGTATCTCTTCTTTGAGAACCCTGACTGCTAAAGGGTGTGGGGGACCTCCCCAGTAGGCCCCTCCTACCTCTCTCTGACACACCAACTCTTCTCTAATACCAAGAAATTGTCGCTCTTCCCCCAGCTCCCAAGGCACTTAGCTTCCCTGGTCTCTCCCAGCAAACCTTCCAGTGTCTTGAGATCCACTCTGCACTCAGCCTCTGACTCTGCCTGGCCCCATTTGTAGGTCAGGTGGAGAGC